ACATTGACTTTTTCTGACCCCTGCCTGCCTGCCTTTTTCAGCCTCTCCTTAGTTTCAGATAGTGCCTGACCCAACATCCAAAGCCTGAGTATTTCTGTCACCACCTTTTAGGGCAAGGAGGAAGGTGTGAGGATCTTTACTACCCCACCCTGTCTCAGCTAGGTGCCTTATTGCTCCTCCAATTTCCCACCCAGATGGTGTGCCTGGCCTTGGAAATGTGCGACCCTGGGATGGCTTGGTTCAAGGTCATTCCCTGTATTAATCACTCTCACACACATACACCCTTCTTCACCGGGGCAGAATTGCTTAGAATTGTACGATCTCAGAGCCCAGAGTTTTACAGACCCTTACATTTCATGTCCTTTAAGTTTGCAGGTGAGAAAACCCAGAATCAGCCAGTCTGACTGACTGGCTTGCTCAGGATTACACCATTAGCATGCCCTTCCTTTTACTAATGACACTGGAAATTATGAAAAGTTCCTATGATGTCAGTAGAAAATGTACTTTTTAAAAGAATTACTAAAACATGGTAGTGAATAACTTTCCTCATGGAAAAAAGAAAACTGCTCCCCATCATCATTTCCTCTTTATTTCAAGACCAAACTTAGATTTTTCAGATGTCTATTATTTCTCATGTCACTTATTTTCACAATTTTATGTCCAAATTGAATATTGTCATGAGATGACAATATTCTGGAAGATATCATTGTGGATACCAAGTCAGACACAAGTTGTGTTTGTGCAGCCAGGTCCATGATGCAAGTTATTGATTTTATTTCAGTCTTGAAGTGAATGTGTGGAGTAGCCCAAATGGGTCTTTAAATAAGCAGCATCTGTTCATTTGTATGTATAGATGTTGGGTCCCGCAGGGTCTATTTGCTAAGGCTGACACTCAGCAACTTGCAGATCATAGTAAAGTTAAGCAGAATACCTCATGTAATGAAAGCAATATGATTAACCTGGGTGGCGTGGAGGTTGCCTTCACAGAGGTGAACAGGTAAGGAAGGCTTTCTAAGACAATGAGAAATGGAGGGAATATTTCCTGCTGGAGAGGGCCAGTCCTTGTACTTTGGGCAGCCACCAGTCAGCTTCAGACGAGTCATGGGCCAGCAAAGTCAGATCCCTGCATTTTTTTTTGGGGGGGGGGCAGAAATTTGGAGCTCTAAGTTAAATATCCTATTTTTCCCCCTCTATGTTGCTAACTCAGTTTTTTTTTTTTTTCTCAGTGAGCCAATTTTGATACGCACCACCAGTTTGTGAGCCCCAGGATCATTTTCCAGGGCAAGATCTGGGGAATAGTTGGGAAGAGGGTTATAGCTCGTATCAGGGGTAAGCCTGAGTGGTACTTTGGCTGGGTAGGCTTACCGTGGTTTCCCAGACCTCATAGCTTTTTATAAAATTAACCTCCTTGATTAGAGCTAAGATGTGGCAATTGGTGACCTCTTTCTCTGACTTCATAATCATTTCCAGGTCCAATGACACCCTGTTTTGCTTCATACTTGGTTGGCACAATGACCTACTTTTGACAAGGGCATGTGAGAAGTGAGTGTGTGCATGCATGAATGGATGGAAGGTCCAGTTGCTGAAAGTATTTCATTTTAAAACACAATTGTCAGTGGGAATGCATTTGCAGGATTTTCAGAGCCCTTTTGTTTGGTCTTCAATCTGGAATACCTGAAGGCTAGTTTCCTGGCCGATTAGCATTCTGCACGGTTCATTTGGCTCATGCCAGCCAATAGTCACAACACCATTTGTGCCTCACAGTTCTAATTATTCAATTTGGTCATAAAAACTATTGGGAAAAAAATACAGTAAAAAAGAATTTTTTTCTGGGCTCGGAATGCACAGAAAGTCAACATGAATTAATGGACCTAAATAGTCCTAAGATTTTCATGAAGCTGATGACCAAATTTAAGAGTGTTGTTAAGGTTTTCTGTGAATTTCATAGGTTGGACAGAGTGGGATTGTAACTTTATAGTAGTGGTGTGGTTTACAAAGGCCAATTCTCTTCAGGCTAAGAATAGTTGCAGACTGAGACAATTTGATGGACATTTCAAGGATAATAAGCTTATTTTTGAAGTTAATGTTTTTGTGAAGAGACCTCTTATTGACAGTCTTCCCTTATCTAATTTTCTGAATAAATGCTTAAGTCCATGTCATCTTTAGTCTATGTAAGCAAGTCACAGACAAGGAAATAAACGTTTGCAGATACCTATGAATATGCTACATGTGAATAGTTTTTTCAAATTTTACAAATTAAACAATTTTGTGAATTGCAGCAGCCCAGATTTTAAAACTCAATAGAAAATTCTTGCTTATTTTTGTTTCCCTCGGCTGCTGAAAGTCCATGTCACCCTGATCTTAGAGAGGAGACCCAAGTCCATATTTTGTGGAATGGAAAACGACAACATAATTGAATTAGGATACCTTCACAAAATAGTCATTTCAACAAGAAAATACATTGTCTACATATTTACAAGGGTTAGGGTCCAAAGTTGAGTAGGAAGGGAACAATATATCAAAACTTCAGCCGAAGAAAAAATTTAAAGTGTTCACGTGGACCGGCCAGCATAAGCAGTTCTGCCAGAACACTTTTACCCGTGTGATGCACATGTTAACTCCCTGATGATGTGATGATAGAAAGACACATAAAACAGCTATTTTTCCTGGCAGAGAGCCCTCCTGTAAACCTAGAGATATTTAAATGACATATCTCAGCTGTGATCCTGGCTATATGTAAGGATTAAAAGAAGCCATTGAATTGCATAATAGATTTCTTCTGCATGCATTGCTCTTCCTGCCAGCTTCAGGCTTGAGATTTTTGCATCTGACCCATGCAATCTTGCGTTGGAAAGAATTAAAATTGTGTGTGTGTGTGTGTGTGTGTGTGTGTGTGTGTGTGTAATAAAGCGTAATAAAGCAGTGGGGCTTTGTCTTGTTAGCTTGTGGGACATTTGTACAATGATGAAGGCCATTGTGGAAGGATAGAGACTCATTTGTCATGTTGAGAGAAATTAATCTTTGAAAACATACATATATATTTTCCAAGATTTCTAAAGGAATGAGAATCAACCTTTTGAGTTTCCTTTATTCTTCCATTTCAAGCTGCAAACTCTGAGGCAATGTGCTTTTACTGTAATTCTGCTCTTGAGTTTTCAATAAAATGTTGCCACTTCTTTCTCTTCTCCATATGCTTTCTCACCTAAAGTGTAACAGCTAACTGGTGTCTTGTTTGTTTTACTTACTCCTGTTATTGATTCCTCCTCTTTAATGTTAAACTGAACAGGAGCCCTGAGAAGCAAATGGGGCAGCTCAGAGCCTCTTTCTTTTGCATTCAGACTCTTCAGATTAGGAAGAACGGGCAAATAAATAAATGAATAGTCTTGCTTTTAACCCGCCTATAAATACATGTTTATGTCTTAGTAATGGATTACCCTTGTGAATAAGTAACCATTTAAATTTTAATCTGAGCATCAGAGTTGAAGATATGGAATTGCTTAGGCTTTTCTCTCAAACTCTCTCTTTGATTTTCAAGATAAAGTAAATTAATTAATGTGCACTTTTCAGTTGAAGAAATGATTAAGACCCAGCTGTGACTGTGAAATTATAAGTTATGATGCAACATAACTCAGGACTTATTAGTGCTTTCTTTTGACAGGAAGAAAAGAGACATAGGTAGCTAATATTAAAATGGTGTTCCAAAAAGCACAAGTTAGCAGTTTGTTTGCCAAATTAACTTTCAAAGACATCCAGGTTACAAAGGTTGACATTTCTACATGCAAATCTTAAATGATTGATGGGCTACTGTAAAACAGCTTTGTTCAAAAAAGATAATCTTTGGCAGGCTACTTCAAAGACCACTACTCTGGAAAGATAGAAAAGCTTCTTTATAAAAAAAGCTAGAAATCCATTTTATATTAATTTCCCTGATAGATAAATGTGTATTTGAAATATGCCTGAGAATTAGAATTATGTGATATTTATTGTATTAGGAGTCTTTTTTTTTTCCCCGTATCCAGCAGTTCCACGTGGGATATTTATTTCTAAGATGTAGAATTTTTCTACACATAAAGAGCATCTTTAAGATGGGTAGAACAGTATATATGGCATTTTATTTACTACTGTTTCATGGCAAGGTAGTATTTAAGACTAAAATATATAGAAAAAGGATGTTTTTAAATCAGTGTTACTGGTTCAGATTTTAGATCAGTGTTACTGGTTCAGATTTTCCTTGTGGGACCCTTCACAGAATCTGAAAGTATTTGCTTATTTCTTTTAAAATATAGATTGCTTTATTTTATTTATATCTAAGGACACTATAGAATTAGGCAAACGAGGGGTGAAAATCTCAGCTAAGGGTTTCAGCAGACACTACAAATGAGCAATGGGGTCAGTTGTGTGTGTTCATGCCCTGGGAATAGAGGTGCCATACCTTGGAAATTCTGTCACTTAGGTCAATATGACATATATTCTAATTTTCTATAAAGAAAATGAAAATCTTTATTACTATCAGAAATCTAATTTTTTTAATATTGGCAACTATAAGATTCTGAAAGATCCCAGGCTAGGCCCACAAAATATGTTTGGGAGATGGCAGTATTTGATCTGTATAGACCTGTTAAGAAAAAGAAGCAGATTTACCTTAACAACAACAACAAAGTGCTCCCCAGATGTTTACACTTTTTGGAATGCAGAGTTTCCTAATTGTGCAATAGCTGTTGTACAGTGGCCTAAACATGGTCCAGTCATAGGAACTAAGACCCTGTGTCCTGTGTTTGAAAGAAGCTTTGCAAAAGGACTCGAGTACAGGGGAGGAGGGTACAGTGGGCATAGGGTACAGGTTTCTCATGGAGAACAGTTATCAGTGAATTCACAGGGGACAAGATATGAGGCAGAAGGCCTTTTTGTCTCAAATTATCTTCAAAATCATTTCATTTTATGGAATTGAATATAGCTGACTTGCAAGAGGAAAAAAAAATCCCTTCTTTGCTCTTTGGCAGGGTGAAGTAGAAAAATAAAGTCTCCCCGCTGAACTACTATGAGGTCAGAAGCCTTGCTGCTATATTTCACACTGCTACACTTTGCTGGGGCTGGTTTCCCAGAAGATTCTGAGCCAATCAGTATTTCGCATGGCAACTGTAAGTACCACAAACTTGCTCGCCTTACCTTTCTGCAGACAGCCTGTGTCAGCCTAGCAAATGAATAAATAAATAAATAGGAAAGCAGGCTTAATCATTTCCACCTGTGTAGATGGCAAAGGTAGATAATCTAAGTCTAGTCAGATTGATGGGATGAGTGTTATGACTCCATCAGATGTTATGAGGACAAGTGTGAGCATCTGAAATGCCCCTCAATAACCCTGCTGATGTCTCAGCTACTGCATGGAGGCTAGCTATGTAGGAGAAGGTCACTATCATCTGAGTGTTGATGTATTACATGTTTTCATATACAGTCAACACATGGGCATTATTACAAGATATGAATGGAGAATGATTATGTTGCCCTACTTTAGAGAAAAAAATTAACCTTTTTTTTTTTTTACTTAGAAATTATATCATTGCTAGACTTGGGTAAAGAGTGATTTTTAATTTACAAAGTACCTATTTAACCAGTTATAGCTTTCTTTTGGTATTTGCTTCATTGATGAGTGTAGATACAGACATCATTAAAAATTCAGGTGTCTCCTCTCAAGAGGAAAGTTCTACCTGTGTGTTGAGTGGAACATCCAATTTACTACTTTTTTTTCCTATTCCCCACAAAACTCAATATTTTATCCTAGTAAAGGTAAAAGAGAACGTTTTCCCCAAGTACCTATATTTGCAGTAATTTTCCCAAAATACTGAGTGAATCATATAAATGACGTTTAACATTAATATGGGAAACTAATGAGACCCATGAATGCCCAGACTCAATTGAACTCTGGGGGCAGAAAATCGAGATTATTTTACATGAAGATGAGGTGGCAAGACTGACACATAAAACAATTAGAGAACAAAAGGTCAAAGGGCATAATTAATGACCAAATTGTGTAGGTTAATATCATCCACTCCTGAAATGGCAGAGTTCCCCACACTTAAGATACCAAATAAGCAGCCATTGACTGCTATTTGAGATAAGTTATCTATCTTTGGCACCTCAGTATAGAAGAGATCCCTGCCTGGTGGGCTGCTGAAAATCGCACTTCATTGGTCACTCAAATCTGTGATAATAGAGACATGAATGATTTTAGCACTTCCCTGATGAATGGGCAAATGAAATTTCAGAGTCGTAGAAGGAAAGGCACAAGGCAACCTCATACCAAGCCTACTCGTGAGTAAAATTCACGGAGGTTTTCTAATAACATACCAACTGTGAGTGATGTTCAGGTACTGCAGGGGTTTAAAGTGTGGGGTCTAAGCATGAATCTGTAAATGATTTTTTAGTTAACTATTTACACCCCTACTCCTCCCTGGAAAATACTGCCTTTTAAACGTGACTCATCTTTCTTTCCTGTTTTTGGAGAATTGCCAGTGACTATAGGTTTAAAGCAGAGAGATGTTGAGATATAGGTATTTCAAAAGGTCAGATATTATTACAAATTGCTCACTCTCAGCCAAAGAGAACTGTAGGAAATAAGAAATGTACTCATTGACTGTCCAAGTCGGGGAAAATTCCAGATCACCCGACTGGCTACACTCAGTTTGACCCTATCCTGTCAAAGCCCACATTTCTGTGAGATTAGCCAATTGCTTAACTCTGGAGTGAACTTCCCACAGTTCCTAGAATGCCAACCAACCTAGCAGGGCTGCGTTCAATAGTAGATTATTCCAACTGGACGCCTGTGGAGACTGTATTTTTCTTCTGGCTCCTGGACGAAGGCTTTCGCCTCCAGACCACATTGCCTTTGTGGGGATTGATGGGAAAGCTGCTTTGAAATAGTTTTGTCCCGAGACAAGATCTTTGGCAGCCTGCCCCCTCAGGCTTAGCACTCTACACAAGATGAAAAGAAAACTGGAAGAAAAGAGCACCTTCGTGCAAAGGGTTCACTTGCAAGTTTAACCCCCAGAAATTTCTGACACTCAGAAATGGAAGTCCAGGCTTATTATCATGTGGAAATGAGGTGTAACTTGATCATCCTTAAAGAGCACTGTTCTGTCAGAGTGGTTCCTAAAATAGCAGACTTGTGTGGAGGTGGAAAATGGCGGCATGGTCTGAATTAAAGCATGGTTTTGTTTTTTGTGGCCCACCCTCTCCTCACCCTGCCCTGTCGATTCTTGGCTTGATCTGCTTTTTCCTCTCTTGCCCCATCTCTTCTTTTCTCAGATACAAAACAGTATCCGGTGTTTGTGGGCCACAAGCCAGGACGGAACACCACACAGAGGCACAGACTGGACATTCAGATGATTATGATCATGAACAGAACCCTCTACCTTGCTGCTAGGTAAGTGGTCTTTTCCTCACGTCTGCCTCAAAGTTCAAATACCTAAATTTGCCAGCTATGTGTCATGTTTAAGAACTTGAGTCTCCCTAACTGTGTTATTTAATTTAAAGGCTGCTTTAGTTAGTCAAGCAATCACTCTTTCAAGATTTCCTGTGTCTGTTTAACTCTGTATGGATTTCCAAAGAAATAATTGCATATTTTGGAACTTAGCTTCAAATAATCTACTGTGTGTCTTGAACATATATGCAAATACTTATCCAAGCACCCAGCAGTGCTCTGCTTTTTGATACTTATCTGTTAAATTAAGTTGAACGTATAAATATGTTTTACACAATGTGTCTATAGGTGTGCATTATGAAACTATTTGTATTTTTGCAGTGAATATTATATATTACTTTGAAAGCATGACAATGGTACCCCCAAAAGCATAATACTATATATATATTTTGAAGGGTTTCTCATTTTTGCCATAGTAAAAAAGAAAAAGTCATCTGTGGTGAAATAGCATTTGGTCAGTCTGATATCTTCAGGCTGAATGCATGGTAAGAATATTGCCCAGACAGGGGGTCCCATGGATTTGTACTTTTGTTCAAATTCTGTCCTTAATTCAGCTGGACCCCAAGTTCTCTGGCTCTAAGTATTCTCTGCAGATGAGAGGTTAGGTTAGCTTAGCTTAATTGAAGTACCTTGGGATTCCAAAAATGTATGGTTTCCCATATTCTGAGTGTGTAATTCATTCAGAATAACTCCAAATGGACCCAAGTGGATAGCACTATCCTGTGGTATTCCTCTGTGGTCCTACCTGAACTCAGCAAATTAGTCACTTCACACTGGAAAGAAAGAGAGAGAGAGAGAGAGAAAGAGAGGGAGGATATTTGTACTTGGCTATAAACACAGGTTTAAAAAAAAGTTATATACTAGCAGTCCTGGATTCCTTTAAAGCAATTAGATATTCTGAGGTGACAAGTTTTGCATATTAAAAAGCCATTGGTATGATTAAAACATCCTGAAAATAACCCACATTGGTCACAGGGAGCTAAAATACTTTAAAAAAATGTTAACTTCACAAATACAGCACATATTATCATGTGCATATTATTTATGTTCATGTTTTATAGTTGTATGTTCTTTAGAAATGTTAACTTGTTCAGTGCTAGAAACAAACCAACAAGAAGGAGCTACTCTTCCCCCTCGTGTACTAGTGACGGGGGAATCCAAGGGACGGAAAGGTGAAAGGACCATGCCCCAATGATAGAGGCAGGATTTAAGCCAGGGTGGCCTTGCTCTGGAGACTACACTGCCACTCCCTGTCCTGTACTACCTGCAGAGGAAGAAACTACTACTTGTCCTGAAACTACTTGTCCTGGTAATTACCTTCTAGTAGCTGTTGCCCAAGAGCATCATTGTTGTGGGTTTGCTATAAAGCTTCCCAGTGAGGTATCAGCACCTACCATTCAGGTAGCCTACCAGCTCCATATAAATAACCATTTTTAGTTTCCTAAATGTAGCAGGGCTAGATTACATTTGTATCCAATTAGCCGAAGACCAATCAAATAAACGATTAAACATTGGATCTGTGAGAAATAGGTAGACTCAAGATTTCCTGTGAGTTGTTCATTTTGCAGTTAAGTCTCTGGGAGCAAAAAATGGTCTAACAGGTGGCCTGTGTACCCAATGATTTAGCATAGGTGTGGGCTACAGGCCAGGGCAATGGAAGCTTCAGGAGCCAGGTGCTATGTAGACTTGAAAGTGCCTATTATTCCAGCTCATTAAAACCAAGACAGTTTCACCTGAACTCCCCACCCCAAGGAAAGGAAAAAGGAGAAAGAAAAACAGGCTTTTTTTTTTTAAACTGGGCAACAGGCTCATCATAAATGAAGGTCAAATTTGTAACATCCTTCCATTGATGTGTTGGTTTTTCATTCCATAGCCAGTTACTTCCCTTCAATACACACTCTTAGAAAAATTCATGAAGGAGTTCCATGGCTTCTATAATTAGGGTTTCTCCTTTTCATATTTCCCAACATTGCTCTGAGAGATCCATGTTCCTAGGCAGCAAGTCACCCTATTTAAAGTTAAATTCTTCCTAGGCTCAAGCCATGGCAACATAACCTAGTTGTACTTGATGGAAGAGGGAAGAAGTCGTCTTAGGACAAGTCAGTTTATGTTCAAATAACTGAATTCAGGAAGAGCAATGTATAAATTGTGGGACACACATATGGGAAGTTGCGAATGACCCCCAACCTTGGATTATGGTTGACCATAAAGTGCTTTTTTTTTTTTTTTTTTTTTTGCTGGGACCATATGATCTTTTAGATATCGGAAAAGGTTGTAGTTGTCAAAAAAGGGGATTTCATTCACAGAATTCTATTTTAAAAGGTTTCCCAGTTCTTCCAGACAATCGGTGTCAGCAGTCAAAAGCTAAGCCCCTTCCAGAACCCTGGGGACCATAGGAGGCTTGGTAGCAAGAACCCCTTTCAGTTCTTTTTTTATTATTATCCACTTTGTAAATTCTTCTTTCTTTTTAATCTCTAAACTACTAATTAACATAAACAGGCCATGCCAAAAGGGGGCAATCTGAGAGCTTTCTGAGGAGTTGCCAATGCATATTAATCAGTTGTTAATTTACAATTCATATATTCGGCTCCTACTTCAGTTTGGAGGGGAGGCTGGGCAAGGAAAGGCTTAGAGCCATCTCAAACCTGATACCAAGTCACAGACACATTCCAATCATGTGCTTGGCCACAGCACCACCATAAAGTCAAGCAAGTAATAAACTAATGCAGTAAACTGCCTTAAAATTAAAGGGCAGGGTGATTATGGCACCCTACTGAAGTTTGAAGAAGCTTCCCAGTTCAGTAGTTTACAAAACAGGCGCCTCATTCTCCCCTTCGCCACCCTTACACACACATTGACATGAGCAGGCAGGAAGTTGTAAGACTACAGTCCTGCCCCCTCCTTTATTTTCATATGAGAAGCCTGTTTTTATTTTTATTTTTCTCCATTGTGCTTTTCCTAGAAGCAAACGGATTTCCCAAGAAAGGAAAACATATCTGCGTGTGTGTGTATGTGTGTGTGTGTGTGAGAGAGAGAGACTTGTGCAAATAATTCCTTTCTCTTCTTCTTCTTCTTTCCTTTTAAGCAATGAGGGGGCTTTAAAGTCTACACAGGAGTCTTGAGGTCCTGGTTTAAAGCTGTGGATAATTTTCCAGCCCCAGGACTTCCTGTGCTTAAAAAAAAAAAAAAAGTCAATGTTATTTCAAGGGAAAATGAGCTGTTTGGCTTTCCCTTAGTAGCCCCCCATCTCCTCTGTTGAGTATAGTTCTTTKCTTCTCTTTCTTCTAAATTCCAGACAAAAATGCCCTTGTACTCTGCTCCCACAGAAGGGGAGGTTTAAATATAGCCCCACACCTGAGCTGCTGATTCTGTTTCTCCCCTTCCAAGGGAAGATTGGCAGCAAACCATAAAGACAACCAAATTCTCAGCAAAACAGGAAGGTGAGCAGAAGCAAGAAGTGTAAACTTTAACTCAAGTACATTTCAGATTTTAATTGACCATCATTTTGTAAAGAAAAGAGTGGCTTCTGGAAAGAATTTACCTTTATCATCTTCCATCTTGTCAATCAAATCATCAAAGCTAAGACTGAAAATATATTTCCTAAAGAGAGATGGAGATGGAGATTAGCTTTGTTTAGCCTCTCTGATGAACAGATGTAGCATGCTGAATACCAAGCATTTGCAGATATGGAAAGGACATGGGAATCCATCTGGAACCTTTGGGCCAGTTTAATCTCCAGAGTCTTCCCACCTTAGTTATAGCTATAAAGATGCTCTAGTTCTGGTGTTAGAGAAAATGGTGACTATGGAAATTGTTCCTTAATGATGTCCCAGGGAGCTAGATGCCATGATATTTCTGGAAGTGTTTCCAGGGGTAGTTCTTGTATGCTAAGTTCTTCTTTCCTTTTTCTAGCAAGTAGATGTCATGTTGTTAAAAAAAAATCATGGGTATGGGCTTATCTGCCCTCAGTGAGATACATTATTAAGCAGAAAATGACCTGTCTTGATTCTTGTTTGACCTTGTATTAATTTTGTTTTGTTTGTAGGGACCATATTTATACTGTTGATATTGACACATCCCACACAGAAGAAATTTACTGTAGCAAAGTAAGTAGTTTCAAAACCATCTCCTAAAATGGAGGAGCTTAGTGTCGTTTTGAAGAGAATTTGTATTTTAAATTCAATGTATCATGGGGATGATGTAGCTAAATTTGGAAGTGGCAACATGCTTTTGTAAAAATCTTAATTTGGGGGCCAGTTAGGATTTAACATGCATTCAGAAACAGGTACTGCATACCATATGTGCATATATGTTTTAAAGTTTCAGTTAATTTTCTAAAATCCTTTAATAAAATAGCACCTGATTATCTAGGAAAATACCAATTTTCATAAGATTTTTGTCCTATGACTATATTCCACAAATGTTTCAATGTTAATGTTTCAAGGTCTTGAAATATGAAGTTTGATTTGACTATTGTGAGTTAGGAACTTGATCATTATGCATTTCAGATAGACAGAAAATCCAACTTAAGCTTTCCTCACAGCTCCATGTGGGGATATTTTAGTTTATGAAATGTGTGCCATTGAAGTAGGCAATTGGCCCATTAATTCATGTGAAAGAGCATAACCTGAATTAAGTCTTTGTCTACCTGAAGTGAATGTTCCCTTTATGTTTAAGGAAATGACTTCCATATTTTAAGGAAAAAGGCTCCTTTACAAAAAAAAAAAAAATTGATTTACCAATGGAAAGGACAAGTACATGTTTTTTTTTTTTTTTATCCAAATGAGCATAATTTAACAAGTTAATTTGGATAGTTTATGTGAAATTTCCATGCTGTTGTTTTTTCTTCTTCTCTTTCTCCTTTATCTGTAGCTCAAAGAGAAGACCATTTTGTAGTGTAATGAATAGATAGGAGTTCAAAATTAAATGAACATTTCCATCTCTAATCTTTTGTTGTTATGGTGAATTAATCATGGAGAAAGGGGTGTGGAAAGCTTTCAATAAATATATGTTCAGCCTCTAGTCTCCCCAAGGGAACTCTTACTTCTAAAATCAAATGCAACAACCTCTGGGCTCTAATTGATTTCTTTCTTGATCCCTGCAGAAACTGACATGGAAATCTAGACAAGCTGATGTAGACACATGCAGAATGAAGGGAAAACATAAGGTAGGCAATTTTCATTTCTCCTGCAGCTGCCACTTTGGGTTAAGTTTTTGATGGTTATCTCCACCGTGGACTGTGATGTCGTATGCATCATGTGATTCCCTTTTCCCCAGTAATTGCTTTTTCCATCAACTTATTGAAGGCTTTAATTTGCAGAAATAGTTTGCTTTTAATGTGATGAAACATTACGACAGCTTCTAGGACAGCGTCGTGAACTCCTTAGGCACTCTCAGGATTACGGACAAAAAGCTGGCTGCCCAGGTCTTCTGAGTGCTCTGTGTGATAGCCCACCTCACAGGCAAGGGCCCTCTGGGATTTTGGGGAAGTGCTCATAAAAGGCTGCCTCAGACATGTAGGCTTTTTTTTTTTTTTTTTTTTTTGCCTTTGGTCATATAACAACATAAAAACACACTTCAGCCAGAAGGCTTGTACATCAAGGGACCCCAGAGCATCTGGCATTAAAATTAATATGATGGGAGATTGGCACTTCCAGCTGGCCTTCTTTTTGTGGTATAAAGTAAACACACATCCTCCCATTTGATGCCATTTTTTTTATTTACTGCTGAAACAATGGTTATCGACATCATCTTTTGGTTAACATCAGGAGTAACTCGAACTTTTAACAGGGCAACTCCTCCACCATTTTCGCCATAACGTAATATGAGCAGATGGTGGGACTCGGTGACAAATGGATTTCTGTGTTGAATGGACTGGGTACAAAACAGTTTGAATTATTTTGCAGGATGAGTGTCACAACTTTATTAAAGTTCTCCTGAAGAAAAACGATGATACGTTGTTTGTCTGTGGAACCAATGCCTTCAACCCTTCCTGCAGGAACTATAAGGTAAATGCTATTTGTCTGTTGGAACCACACAGCCAGGAGGTATTTCATAATTTACTGTGATTGTACCCACAGAAACCTAAGAAGGGTAATTTAATACCACCTGGGTTCCTCTCACTTGTTCAACTTAATGTATTGCTCCACATGAGTGATCCTGAGCAGGCTTCTAAGCTTCCTGTTTGTTCAGGATTGATTGACACGTCTTTAAAGAGCATACCCTGCAAAGGTAGTTTCTCTAGGACCTTATTCTTCATTGTTCAGAAGTCCGACATATTGACCACGTGGAATTACCATGTGGATTTCCTCTCTGTCTCTCTTTCCCTTTCTCTTTCTCCCTCCAATCCCACAATCTCCCCTCTGAGCACAAAAACACACTTAAAAGGTATCTCAAAAGCATGCCGTTTAAAACTGTAGACTTTCCTCTTGGGAAGATTTTCAAGAGCACAGAAATTTGATTCCATTTAACACTCATCTTACTTGACCATGACCTTACTTACATCGGCATTTATAAAAGGAAAAAAATAATGAATTCTCAGAGTTGGTAAATCTAGTTAGCACGCATGCAGCTGATACAGGGGCTGCCAAGGAAGCCAGGCGCTCACCAGCTGTGGAAGCAGACGTAGCGATGGTCTAAGGTCGTGGCTCCACATCTGTTAACTTTCCTTGTCCCTTCTGTTTGCTGAAGATTTTACTCAACAAGCATCGAGTTTTTACTGTGGCCAGGCACTGACAGATAGGAGGCTTCCACTCTTAGGAAGCCAGACAGGGAGAAGAAAATTGCAATTCCATGGGCTTGCTGCCATGGGACGCAATGCAGAAAATTGCTGAAGCACAATTACCCTAGCCTGGGTGAAGATTTGAGGCAAGCCGCAGGAAGGAGGTAGGATGCCTCCTTCTCTTTAGAGTTCCTGGCTGCTGTTCTCATGCCTGGAACACAAATACCCTCAGCCTATAAGAAACCCAGAGGCTTTACAAGGAACCACATCTGGGGTTGTCCAAAACTTAATGTAGTACCTGCCCAGCAAGTGCTTGTTAGTTTTTGTGGAATAAGCATGAAGAAGGTAATGCCTTACCTTTGCACTGAGGATAAGGAGAAGTTAGCCAAATGAAGGAAGAGGACACTACAAGTAGGTGAGCGGCGTGAACAAAGGCATGAGAAATAGCCATTGAGCTCGAGAAACTTCATCTGGTTCTCAGTTGCTAGAATTTGAAGTGACAAGTGATAACAGAAAGAGGCTAGAGAGGTAGATAGCTCAAAAGATGAAGGCCAGACAATAGATTCAGGATATACTTATGTGACAAAAATCAGGAGGATTTTAATAATTGATAAGGAGCACAGGACAAGGAGAGCAAGAGCAGTCAAGGATGACTGCTAGGGTGTCCCTTGGATGGGGCAGTTTAGAGAATAAAAGAGATTCAGCAAGGGTAGGGTGGAGGTAGCAAGAATTGGGGGTTCTGCTCTGAATGTTCTAAGGAAGGATGAAACTGGGGGACGGGGAGCAATGCATATGAGGAATGAACAGAGATATCCAGCATGGAAATAAGCCTTGATTTGGAGAGAGATATAGGGAGAAATATAAATTTGAGTCTCTGCATCATAAAGTGCAATCCTAGGGGTATAAAGAATGAAAAAAAGCAATAATAGGCTGGGAAAAGAACCACTGGGCTTGCTGCAAAGATCCTCCTGCCTTTTCTTAACAGAGAAATGAAGGGAGGGTCTGTTTTACCCTCATGCTCACCTTCCATCAAGTGCTTAGAAATGGATACCAGCAGGGCCAGGGTTAGGGGAGGCAGGTGAGGCCCTCGGCTCTGATGCAAAATATACAGGCGGACCCCCCCAAATGCAGTAATTAAGATAAATTTGATTTTTTATGTCATCATTTTTAAAAATCAGAATTAGTACAAAAATGTCTATCGTGAACAAAAGATCAAATCTTAAAATAAAGGCAGGATTCATTAGTTCACAAGCAAGGCAGCCCAGCCAGCCCAACATGTATTCTATCCAATGACTGCAAGCTCAGGTTTCAACTCTACCACTTAATATTCCATCCCTGTTTGTCATTGTTTGGGACTCATTTAGATTAATGCTCCTAACACATCCCAAAGAATTCCCCAGCTAGAAAGCTATCTTTTATGACAAATTACGGGTTTCCTTGGCACTATGATACACTGGCCACGAGAGGTCTAGCTCATTCTTTCCAGGCATGTTCCATTTCCCACGGTGCCTCACCTATAGTGAGCACTGTCACCTCAGCTTGTTCTAGCCACACCTGCAGAAACATATTGTGGGAGTCTGGGCCTCCCAGAGCCCACACATGGGTTGCTGTTCATGCTCAGCCCCTGCTATATTCCTAGCACTGTAAATGGTCGTAAGTTACCTCTGGAATTGCTCAGAAAGGTGTTCTCTTGGGCTCAGGGCACAGTATGACTTTGCTAATGACATGGGACACAACGTATGTGGCTGCAGGGAGAATGGCAGTCTATCTCTAAAGTGATTTTTATCAACAGATCAGGACCAAAGATGCAAAGCAAAACCAGTTAACTGGTCTTTCACTGAAAACTTCAAGTCTCATCACAGCACAGAAGTATCCATTTGGTTAGAGTGACTTGAGACAGGAAAGTGACAAATGTTCAGCTTCTTTCTCTGTACCATGGCCTGATTTATACAATTTTTGTATTTAAAAAAAAAAAAACAGTGTTAGAAAGATTAGAGCCCTAAACAAGATTACCTGGGGGAGAATTTTAATACTATGAACTTGAAGGTATAACTCCACTCTTCATCCCTTTTCCCTCTAGAGCTCTACATCTCTTGAACTTTCTGCAAAAGTCAGGCTGGTTCTTTGTATCATTATCCGTACCCTATGGTGATTTAATTTCCCAGGGGTTGCTGTTAAGTCTGAGATTTGATGACCACTATAAGGATTAATTCTTACTTCATCGAAAGAAGATTTCAATCTGCCATTGTTTTATTTCTGGACCTTTCCAGAGTTATGAACCAATGCATTAATTCTTCACAGCTTCTTGCCTTTGACTAGCTATAGCTATAACAACTTTTTTTTTTAAGGAAAGGTTACATTTAAAAAATTTTTAAAAGAAATCCCATTCCCCTTTTATACAGTTTCCCCATTGCTAGGATCAGAATGAGCACTACTGGGGGTGAGGGCATTTCCGTTGTCTCATTGTGTGCTAAGCATCATTTCTGAAGATGTGCCAGACCCACAGACCACAAACTCTGTCACAGTTCAACAGAAAGCTCTTGTTGGGATAAAATATCTGGGAAAGACTTTCATAAGGAATGTGCTGGGGGTGGGGCAGAGTACATTGCTTTAAAGGATGTCTGATTTGCCTGTCTTCCCCTAAAAACGTATGTTTTAAACTCAACTGAGCCATAATTTAAAAACAGATGACTTCAACAGGACCATCTTCAAGTGATTCCTGATAGGAAAGTCCTGTTCCATCTCTGACACTGGGCTTTAAGGCAAAAGCACAGATGATTGGACAGCACTGAGTGATGCCCATGAGATTCTCTTTTTCCTTCTGGGAAAGACCTGAAGCTCCTTGATTTGGGGAAGCTTGATGTAGCACCAATCACCAATGGCCTTTGCATAGATCTGCCCTCAGCACCAGTTTACATCCTTTTAGTTTTCAAATGTGTGGTCAAACCATGCAATTCCCTGATGATAAACAAAGTATCCTTAAACTGTAAAGAAGATTGAACCACAAATGGGTATAAAAACATTAGCGATGTGGAGATCGTTTTCTGGACTCGGTGGTACTAAGATTTTATATGCTAGAAAGATCCCACAGAGTAAGAAGAGAGACAGCATGTCATAAAGTAGGAGCCACTGTGTCCCTGATCAGGGTGGGCCAACCTCTGACCCGCACAAGGGGATTAGTTCTTGCTCACAGCACAGTCAATTGTGGGTTAGAGAAAGGGGTTTTTCCTTGAGGTGCAGAAGGCCAGGCTTCCTCCTGCTCAGACCTCTTGTAGGGTCCTAGAATCCTTACTATCTGGTATGGAGAGAGAAAGAGCAAGATGGAGGCCACTGGGAGGTTTTCAGGGTCAAGTCCAAGAGGTGGTATGCAGCCTCACATTCACATTCTGTTGGTCATGGTGTGGTCACATGGCCATGTAGAACTGCAGGGGATGATGGGAAATGTACTTAGTGTGATCAGGAGGAAAGGAAAATGGGATTTTGGGAAACAGCCATGGAGGCTTTGCCACACCCACAAATGCTCATGGAGTCAAGTGTTTGTATTTCCTTTGGAGAAGTAAAGGCGAATGATAGCTACTTGGTAAAGAAGGCCCTGAATTGACTTTTTAAAATAAATAAGAAATCCAGGTGTTCACCCCTCAATACTACTTTGACAAAACAAAACTCACCAGCAGGCCAGTAATAACCTCTAACCTAAAGAAACAGTGCCTGAGTCGGGCAGCGGGAAATAGAAGTCAGGGGCTCAGTCTCTCACTGCTTCTGACCTTTGTGAGCCATTCAACTTTTGGGCCTCTGTTTTCTAAACCTGGGCCATTTGCAAAATCACTTTCAAAGCTGCCATCCTATGATGCTGAAGCATGTGTAGAGGCCACCCATGTTCTGCTCATATTCATGTTCTTGCACCTTTCCTGATGCTGTATCATTCTGCCAAGTAACCCAAGGAAGAAATCCAGTGTCTTCTACTGGGATTTAATCCAGAAAGGTAGAACTCATCATGCAAAACAAAACCAGAAATAAGGTCATTCTCTAGAGTTCATGACTCAACAGGTAACTGGGACAGGTAGCTTTTCCCAGGGATTGCCTCAGAAATTCCCTGGTTTAGAATGTTTATTTCTAGACCACTTCATTAGGATATGGAGATATATTTATCGTAATAAATATATCATGAGCAGACATGACCAAATTTTAGACTCTCCTAGCTATAGAATCTTGGTTAAGTGACTTAATCTCTTTTAGCCTGTTTCTTCATCTTAAACTCATAGATGTGCCTTGGAGGGAATTTATAAGGACATTTGCAAGTATGCATATGAATTACTATACACATGAAGTGCTTTATAAGTATCAGTTCTGTAACTACTGTTGGTGGTTGTTGTTTATATTCAAGTTATATTATTGCATTTAGATTGATACTTTGGAACCTTTTGGGGATGAATTTAGTGGAATGGCCCGATGCCCTTATGATGCCAAACATGCCAACGTTGCGCTGTTTGCAGGTAAATGACCCGATTTCTTCTTGTTGCATTTGCTTTTGCGTGTTTCAGCCTGTCGCTGAGAATCTGCTCTGGAGGATTGGTGGAGTCACAGTTGTAGCCTGATTCTCTGGTGAATACTGTAATTAAGAGTGCCTTTTCCATTTGAAATTGTATGGAAATTGTACTTTTGCTTCTCTAAACAAGTCTTTGCCACCCTTACCCATACTTTTGTGTCTGTAGAAAAGGATAATAGCTCAACATTGAATATGCGATGGCAAGTTTGGGCTCAAATAATAGAAAATCACACCTCAAACCATGGATGTGGTTTAATGTTTGAAGTCAGGTAGACTTTGGGATTGATCAACAACAGTATTATCCCCGATGCTGCTGCTTGTCATTTCCCGCCTCTGTATCAACTCCATTATGAGACTGGCTGCTGCCCCAATTAATGTCTTCTTATCTACATATAGAAGGGAAATGAAAAAAAAGAACAACAAAAACAGGAAACTTCTGGAATCTCACTCAGAGCAGTGAGGCCACATACCCATAAACTTCCAGCAAAATCTCACATATCATAGCCTGATTAAGCAATATGTCTGTCTCTGGTCCAAAGGTCCTGGTGGTTTAGAGGGTGATATTGATTGCTGAAGTGGGCCTGTACTCCCCCACCCCACACCTTCTCTCTGCTGTAAAAGATATAAAGAAGCAGCTGATAAGCCATCCTTTTAGTAGGATTTTTGTATATTACTGTGTTTTAATTAGGAATTTATTTAGGAATTCATTGCCAGCTGTGTGTGTGGAGGTGGGTGTTGAGAGAAGTGTTGGTATAATAGTGATTGTTATAGCATGTAATAAAGCAGTTAACTATAATTTCCATCACAACAGCTAAAAACTGGCACATCCTGGCTGTATAAGGGACTTTAGGGCTTTGATTATGAAACAAGATTGTTTCCCAGCTCCTTGAACTTCATCCTCAGAGTTACCCATTTGTGGGCCTGAATCTTTAGTCATAGATTGTAGAAACAGAAAGTTTCCAGGGGTTCTCCTTCTAAGTGAGAGCCTGCTTTTTTGAGAAACAGCACTTAACTGCCACAAAGTCTCCTGGACTAATTTGCAAGCATGGGCAGGAGCAAAGCCAGGGGCAAGAGGGCTTGAGCATATTCTAAAGTGCATACCTATACCAAATACCTCTCTGACTCTAGAACCTGCATTAGTTGGGACCTTGGAAGATGTGGGCTGAAGGAGAGATTTTTAGTTTAACTATAAACTAAAAAGAGAACTTGTAGCCTGAGGTAGAAATGAGAGATAGCACTAAGTGTTTACTGAGGCCAGTATGTTTCCAAGAGCTATTGAGAACAAATACACAAGATGAAACTATTATTTTCCCCACCCTAAGATGTACATCTGAAGAGTTTCCTGTTGGAATGTTTGAAATTTCATGAAAGCTCAGCCCTATTTGACTCAAGATCTGTACTGTGAGTAGATGGTGGCATAGCACCAACAACGGCAGAATAGTGTTCTGTTTTACAAGGAAAGTTCTGGTCAGATAGCAGTATTGAGTGTAAAACAGAGTCCTGGAGTGTTATTAAAAGGAGGAATAGCCATCCCCACACCCCACACTCCTCTCCATGTTCCACTGTCCCTGAAACCCAGGCCTATCTTTATGACATAGGATATAAGAATATAGAATATATATTCTATGAGAAAGCTCGCGATTTATAGATATGTGCTTGTCAATGCAAAGATTTGTGGTCTGCAGATTTGAACAAAAATAGAATCAGAACTTCTTAATGTAGAGTTGCTAATTATGCAGATATCAGGATAGCTCTTAGTTAAATCTGAGCAAATTTTCATTATTTTAAGACCAAAGGTAAAAATAAATATCTTTGTTTAAGTTTTTATAAGCTTCTTATTTTTAAATATGGTAGAACTTAGAAAGTACTATATTGTCTGTAAGTCACTTTGGCATATAATTAGTGGAAATATGTAATTCATTAAAAATAAATCCAAGAAGTCATTGTTTTTACTTTTGGATATAACTATTGTTTCTATTTAGTCTACATAGATTTTATTAACCTAGAACACCCCCAATTAGTTATTTGTTTGCAGAGTTTGCTAATCCAGGAAAGAACCAAAAGTTTTAGGGACCATCTCCAGTATTTATTCTCTTTTGCCTTGGGTATACCCTCAAGCATCCCTCCCCAAAAGAATAAGTTCTTAAAGAAAGGCCAGTTTGAACTCCGCCTCTCCCATCCCCTTTCTTCTTTGTTTTGGAATTTTGTAATTCATAATGTTTTCAATTTGTGATTTGTGAAATCCTAAAGCAAATATCTGTTATTTAAGGTAGATTGGCAGGGCTTAATGAAGTCTTTTGACCAAATAAAGAGGAGTGCTGACCCTCAGGACAGAAGCAGGAATTTGGTCAGCCCCTTTGTGCTTATGAGCCTCCTCTGTTCAACTCTGCACACCTGCCCAGGCTGAGGACTCCCTTACCTCTGCCTGGACTTAAATTTTTCAGTGATCACATCAGCTTCTATCTTTCCCTGGGCTCCTACCTAATCCAGTTTACCATGGTGTGGTGGCAATAGCAGCATCCAAGGGTCCTTGGCCTTGAGATTTCAGTCAAGGTCCATCTAATCAAGTGCAGCAAACAACATTTTTCATTCACTCTGTTCCCTGAGCTGCTGCTGCTCCGAAAAATTGCCATGCAATTTAAAAAATGAAAAATGTTTCATCTCTCATGATCCCAATTTAAAATGGTTAGGAATATGGGCCAAGTATTTTCCTAGCGACTCTTGGATTTTTCCCAGTTGTCCTATCTCATTTGCCTGATGTAGGAAAGCAATCTGGGGGATGTCTTCATTATTCCCCATCCCCACTCTCTTGCTTGCACCCTGTTCACCTCTTTTCTTTTTCTGCTAAGATGGAAAACTATACTCGGCCACAGTGACTGACTTCCTGGCCATTGATGCAGTCATTTACCGGAGTCTTGGAGACAGCCCTACCCTGAGGACCGTCAAGCACGATTCAAAATGGTTGAAAGGTGAACAATTGAAAGAAGAAAGGTGTTGGGGGGGGGGGTGGGTACATATCTTGTGGGAGATATAGAGTCTGGATGGACCAGACTGTAAATTCATTTTAGTAATGGTTTCTGACAGACCAAATCATGTAAATTGCATCTTTCACCTCCACTGATTTATTTACCTCCCTTTTTCCCTTCCCATGAGTTTCTGAAGTATTAACAAAACTACCAGTGCCACAACAATAGAATACGTCACATTCATCTTCCCCTGCCTGAAACTCTCATTTTGGAGTCCCACATGAAAAGAACTGAATAGTTCATTCACGAAAGAGAACAGGGATTGGAGGTAGTGGGGAGTAGGAAAGAGGCCATTCACATCCCTGTGAGTCAGGCTGACCAGGCAATGTGTACAAAATCCTCTCTGTAATATGGGCATTCCATTGTGGAAAATAAAATTACAGAGATTTGCAAAACCCATTTATTCTTGATTGTTGATTGCAAAGCTTCTGAAAGATATAATTTGTAGCCTTGAGAAGCCTTCTGAAATCACTAGCACTTGCAAGTGTGAAGTCATTAGAAATGGTTAGTGTTCACCAAATGTCTAATAGCCCCACACTTTTAATTAATAACATGTCTTTGGTTGCACTTGATTAAAATTCTCTTAACACTATGTGACATGTCCCCAATTAAAGTGTCTATTTGTCTACAGAACCATACTTTGTCCAAGCAGTGGATTATGGAGACTATATCTACTTCTTCTTCAGGGAAATCGCTGTGGAGTACAACACCATGGGAAAGGTAAGTGGGGAGGGTGCATCGGGCTATCTTGAAGCCCTGTAGCCTTTTCAGAGCTATAACAAATTACAGGGAACCTCTTAAATATTTCTATTTAAAATCCAACCAACAGATGTTTGGTTAATTTCATACCAAATTCCAAGTATCTCGACATGTGGTTTTCAGGTACAGTTTTCCTTTTTAATTGAGTTGCTCCTTAGGGAGACTAAATATCCAGTATCTTCAAGCAAATTGAGTCTTGATATATTTATTATTTTCTTTCTTGCAAAAAGTGATAGAACAGTGAGGGAATGTCTATTTTATTAGTTATTTTTACCAGAGAGTAGATCAAGGTCACTAAGTTGGAGGACACAAATAAAAGGCCAGGGTGGCTTGCACAATTAGAGGAACTCACACTCTAAGGATGAGAGTCAGCCCCCAGAGGCAGGCAGTGAGGATGGCAGAGATGGTGCATACAAAGTGTGCTTTTGTTTGAGGAAATAAAAAGCTAAGCAGTCTGTATGGAAATGAGTTTATGTGGCTGGGAGCTGATCCCCTGAAGGATTTATGGCTCTGTATTAAATGCCACAGCCTTATCTTTTAAAACATGCTGTTTCAGTGCTGAGTTTTCCTCTTTTTTTTTTCTTTTGCTACTGATTTTAGAAACACAATATTAAATTAAGCACCTTGTTGTTCTGTTTCTGTTGTCAAGAAAAGGCAAATTCTAGTACGATCTTCTCACAAAGTGCCTGCATCTCATTTTCCCTGTGTGTTTTTCCTCTGCAGGTTGTTTTCCCTAGAGTCGCTCAGGTTTGTAAGAATGACATGGGAGGGTCTCAGAGAGTCCTGGAGAAACAGTGGACATCTTTCCTGAAGGCTCGACTGAACTGCTCAGTGCCTGGAGACTCTCATTTTTATTTCAACATACTCCAGGCGGTTACAGACGTGATCCGTATTAATGGCCATGATGTTGTCCTGGCAACCTTTTCCACACCTTATAACAGGTAACTATGCCCTGGCTGTGTTGACCTAAATCATTTCTTCCTTTTCCCACAGGGCTTCTCTTGTAATATGTAGTGTTCACAACTGACAGAAAATTTCCATTCACTCTTTGTAGCTAAGAAGCACTTAACACTTAGTTTTCATCAATGAATTAGTTGGCATTTACAAGCATTATTAAAATAGGATTTTAGGGGAAATAAATTATAACAACATGCTCTATTCATATTACTGGCATGTAAACACTTTTCATGTGTTATTCCTAAATCCCTCCTCTAATCTTGGAAATCCGAGACTGTTGTTCTCATTTTACACTCAAGGAAACTGAGCTTAAAATATTAGATTACCTGGTCCAGGTAGTCAACAATGGAAGAAGCAGTTTTGGAACTAAGAAATGTTTTTCCCAACTTAGCACATGTAGCATTCCAAAGGACTTGTAATATTTCCATTAATTAGCTAGGTATCTTTTGAAGTAAAAACACCAGAAATATATTAAAATGCAACATTATGAAGTTTAGGATTGACATGAGTCTGTCCAGCATCCCACCCAGGGATCTAGTGACTGCCCTATTTGAGGAAGTCACCCTTGGGTGACCTCACTCAACAAATTAGATCATGGCCCAAATCCCAAACTTTGCTCTAGTGAGGATTTATAAGTCATCGAAAACTATACCTAGAGATATTGGTTATCAGCCTATTCATTCCTATTTTTGTATTTGGTTAAGCTAAGACATGGTTAAGCTAAGACACTAATAATTGGCCCTAGAGCAGTGAAAACTGTATGGATATTACAGAATAGAAGGAAAGTAAGGGGTCCCTGGTACTCAGCTCTCCATGAAGCTACAAAGCTGTCACAGGTCTAGCACTGTTGTGTGAAAATGATCCTAACTCTGAGTATGGTCATGAAATCTGAATTTCTCTACCATGTTCTCATCTCTGGGTATAATTTCTGATAGTCTAGATGGAACATCATCCTCTAAGAATACAATGTTTGTATTCTACTTTTTACAAAGACTCTTAAGAACTTGATGAGTGCTACATGACAGGCACAAAAATGATGAGACTGGAGGATAGCATCTAGAAAGAAGTGCTTAGGAATCAGGCAGAGCACAGAAAACAGCAAGTGGAAGGTGGAAATCATGCTCCTCAATTACATGGAGGGCAAGAGTCAAGAGTTTCCCACTGAAGATAAATGAAAATATGAGTCTATATTGCAGCAAGAACTACTTGATTAGATTTAGGTAAGCTTTAACCATCTGTAGGGATTTTTAGACTTGAGAATAAAAAATATATATATATATATAAAAATTTAGCTCTTGACTGTTCTTATATCAAAACCCATCTATCTAGGATTTTGTAGAGGCATACTGTGTTTGTCAATGGGAATTCAAGGGCTAGTGGGACTTAAAAGCACATTTCTACTTTGGGGTTTTATTTTGGTTTTTAAAAGTATGAGTTGCTTTGTAATTAAAATCCCATAGTGGGTTCTCTTGTGTTATAGGTACTCCATTTGAAGTATTTCTTAAAGGGTCCCTAGGAAATATCCACTGCGATGCTTATGCAGTCTCAGAAATTATATTTATTCAATAAAAATCAGAATATGGTAATCTAGTTTCCCATTTAAAAAATATGCATACCCATTTTCACTTATAAATTATAGTCCTTCTCTGGCTTTCCTCCCTCTGATTTTATCCCTTTCCACTCCATGTCCGCATAAGCAAACTAGTGTGTCAGGTTGTTTCCTATCCCTAAGGGGCTCTCTTTACCCTGAGGAAGAAATCCAAGCTCCTTGGCATGATATGCCAATCCCCTTGTGGTGTGGCTCCCTTCTCTCTTCAGCTTGTCTTCCTTCCATCCTCTGCTACACAGCCTGTGCCACTAGCCTACAGAACCAAAGTCTGGTTCTAGAATGTGCTGTGCTCTGCATACATGATGCTCTCTGCCATGTCTGCCTGTCCAAACAACATCTGCACATTGCAACCCTGTGCATGCTCCAAGTCTTGGCTGAGTCACCTCCCGTGAAACTCTGTGCACCTTCTTTATGGGCTGCGTTTTACAAGATTGCCTTGGAGTTGTTATAATCATATTTGCTTCCACACTGAACTGTGAGCCAAATGAAGGAAGGCCTCTATTGGTCATGGGGCACTTATTGCTTTAGATTAGGAATTTCAGAAATGCATGTTTAATAATCAGAAGTTGGAAAGAAGGGAATGGAGAAAAGATGACAGGAAGGAAGGTGAGGAAGAAACAAAAAGACTACAAATGATTCTAACCTTGGGAAGATTATAAAAACCCCAGATTCCTTAGTTATTATGGATGCATCATAAAATTTCTCAATCAATTTATCTGATGTTTCCTAATATGGAAGGTAAATATATAAACTTGTTGCATTTAGGAGAGAAAGAAGTAAAGAGTATCTTACAAAATTAAGTAAACAGGGCCAGGGATATAGCTTAGTTGGTAGAATGCTTGCCTTGAATGCAGAAGGCCCTGAGTTAAATCCCCAGCACCACAAAAAAAAAAAAAAAAAAAAAAGAGAGAAAAAAATTAAATAAGCAATGCTAGGTTCCAAAATTCCAATGCAAATAGGGATCACTGTGTTAAATAGGCAATTCAGTGAATGTCAAATACATGTATGTATTCTGACTTTAAAATTCACCCTGTCACCTCGTTTTAAAGAAGTTTTTTAATCCTCTCCCTATTTCTTGCTTTATTAGTAATATTTTAGTAATTGTTATAAAACTAAACATGGCATAAAATTTTCCTAATCGTGTACGAAGTGATTTCCATATCCTTTCAACATTTTGCAAAAAAACTAAATCTTTCTCCTGGCTGGATCCTGCTCCCACACTGCAGAGCGCCTCATCCCTTGCCCTGACTGCTCCCGTCATGTAATGGCTCAGTACCTCAAAGCCTGATTAAACCTCTTGGCCAGCTGGTGTCTACAATTTATTTCGTCAAAATCAGGGAGCGATCATAGTCAAAACAAACATGGGTTCAAATGTAAACAGTATACCCAGATGAATGAATTATTCATGTCTTCCCACCATTGATTAAAAAACAAAAATGCCTAAGTCCTTCCAGGAGTGCCAGGCAAGGATGTAATTATAGGTGGAGATTACTGTCATTATTATTATTTAGCACTTTATAGAGTACTTTATTTGGAAAGTGATAATGTTTTAAGACTTAAATTATTTAATCTCATGCAAATTAACTGGAAATAAAAATTTAAAGATACAGCAACTAATTTAAAATGTGTGTTCACCTCACAACCACCACCTCCCACCGATACCACATTCTTGCATCATCAGTCTTTGGCTTAAAGATCCAAATTCAAAGAAGCAATGTGTGGATAGTAGAGTCCTTTTCTTTCAAATTTTCACAAACATTGAAGATGCAGAACGTTTTCCAGAGACTTTTTTTTATCTTTGAATTATTGATAGCAACATCAGGGAATTCATGAAATTTCTCTCACCCATTGAATAATTGTTCCTTTATAAACAAAAGTGGTTTGAGAGACAATGAAGTCATGAAGATTTTTTTTATTTCTCTATGTGATTTGCTGTAAACTAGCTCTTGATGCGAATATGATTGACAGAAACATTCTTTTCATGAGTTAAGATTCCATACCTCTGTAGTGTTCAAGTATGACTTTTAAATTCCCCCCACCTGTAATAAGAAAGTTTCTTAAAGTGTGTTTGCACATTGCATGCATAATGTTTGTGTAATACTTTGTGAAATGTCATGTTGCAGCATCCCTGGGTCTGCAGTTTGTGCCTATGACATGCTTGACATTGCCAATGTATTTACTGGGAGATTCAAGGAACAGAAGTCTCCCGATTCCACCTGGACACCAGTTCCTGATGAACGAGTCCCTAAGCCTAGGTATGTGCTAATATTTATTTGGCTATTTTATACTTCTAGAAATGGGGGGAATTTGATCCTTTGACAGTGAACATCCTGTGAACTGTATTCCGGTATTTTCCTTGCTAGCCAGGCAGTTACAGATGCCAGAACAATAGAAATGCCTTGGAGACCATTTGCCCTCATCCCCTTAACCAAAATCCAGAACTATCTTATAGACATACAAAACGATGACTCTATAGTCTCTTGCTTAACCTTTATGCATGTATTTTATCTAATGTAATAATAGAATGATAGGAACCATCTGATATAGCCAGTCCCATTCGCCTGTAATTGGGAAAATTGAGGCCTAGAGAGGTAAAGTATATTGTGTAAATTCACATAACTAGAGAAATTATTTTTGCTTCCCTCAATTTTACAGACTGATCTCTCTAATAATGTATGAAATGTAAATGGTGTTTCCCTGGATTTGGGGATCAAGCTGGGTCAGAGTTGACTCTAAGACTCCAGGCTGAGGACAGAAACAGTGGACTATTTGGATATTTCTATTGTGCCATGTTCTGTTTGTAGTCACCTCTTTGCAAATTGTGCCCTAAAATTTCTCGCATGAAAGCCTATGGCCCAGAGACAATAGAGATTTCTTGGTCCCATGTAATCTTTCTTAGATCCTCCCAGGGAAACAGCTAATTCTAACTGAATACAAACAAGATGAAGCTCTACCCCCACTCCTGTGCCTTCCTGGTATGGGTTCCACATCCTCCACACATCCATTCCAAACTTGCAAACTAAGTTACATGGAAATAGCTCCACTGAATTTGTGTGACCCAGGAAAGAAGCCTAATGCCTTACTTTTTCATTTTGCTTTCTAACTTTCTACCCAAACCTCCCATCCTCCTGACATGAAATACCTATGAGTCTATGAGTGCATTTAATTGAACTAACTTAGATGCCAGTGAACTACTATACTCCAAGGAAACCCTCATGTCAGCATTCATCTTCATCACCTGAATTAACTGGTCTGTTCATACCCTGCTGCTTGTGGAGAACAGACATAGTGAGAAAAACATGCTCCTGCAATCTCTGCTAGATTCTCTAAGTCATTGCCTGGGACTGTGAACCAACTTCTCAATAAGCAGAAAGGAGAAGTTCAGGCAAAGGGATCAGGTTTCAAGGAATACCAGCTCTCTATTTGGTGTGTGAAGATGGTATCACTCAGCCATCACCACCAGGACACATTTTTAAATGATTTTTCCACCACGGCAGGGCAGAGGACTTGCCCACATGCTTCCACACGCCTGCCTGGTCCCTGTTGTAGACATCAGGATGCATTCACTGGAAGGCTGAGTTGGCACCATGACACAGTAGACATGTGGCATGGAGGTAGGTCATGTCAACATTGTGAGAACCCCAACTCCTCTCCTGCACTAAGAAGCAACCAGGTGCCTGGGCTCCTGGCTTCAGTGTTTCCAAGTCTGATTTTGCTGGGAAGTTCCTTCACTCCTGAAACCATAGATTTTCTTGTTCAAGTGCATTTCGCTATATTCAATTATGAGGAAATGAACTTGCAGGAAAGAATCTTTATTATAATTGATTTTTTCATACCTGCCAAAATCACATAAAAATAAAAGCAGTAATTAAAAAAATTTTAAAAAGCCCTCAAATTCTGAGTCCCATGTAATGAGAGATGGTTACACTGAGCCTTGCTGGTATGTATCCTGGTGACTTTCTGAACATCTTTTCTACACTTATGGAAAAAGTCAACTAACTCCTCCCTTTGTAGAACAAATGCCCCCAAGAACCTCTTGCGGGGTTTTGAGTAAGTAGAGCCATCCCTGGGATATGTGCAGACCACAAACTCACTTGTTTAGAGCTCCATCGCTGTTTGCTGGGGTTCATTTGTACTTCTGGAAGCAAGCCAAGCTGCCCCAACATGCAGCTTAACTGAGCTGGTGAAGGCTCCTTTATGGAATGAGGAGGCAGCCCAGAGGAAATCTCAGCGTGTTGTATTTGGTGGCATTCTGCATTGTTCAACTTCCTCCTCTTGCCTGCGGTACATTCTCTTTCATGCCAGATGCTTAGAGAAGCAGTTCATTGAAAGAATTTGCCATAAGGCATGAAATAAACCCCCTCCCTCCCACCCTTTGTTTCATTGTAGGCCAGGTTGCTGTGCTGGCTCATCCTCCTTAGAGAAATATGCCACCTCCAATGAATTTCCTGATGACACCCTGAACTTCATTAAGACTCACCCGCTCATGGATGAGGCAGTACCTTCCATCATCAACAGACCATGGTTCCTGAGAACGATGGTCAGGTGGGTGCCAAGTAAACCATGTCCAAAATGGATTTCTCTGACTTTGTTTCATGCTCATAGACTCTATCAGTGGTTCATGCTTTGAAATGCCACAAACATCTTCTGCTATCCTGGGCATTGATTCAGCTATGAAATGCTGGCAGGTTGGGTGGATGCCATCAAATCCCCATAGCCACATTCCCAGTGAGAAGAGTTCCAATATTTTCAGGCTAGTTGTACACATGCCAGCAATTAGAGGAAAGAAAGATATTTCCTTCCGGGTTAGCTCATTAATCCAGTCTGTGCAAAAATAGAGGAGTGGTGAAAGAGAACTAGTGATTGGATGTGGATACCTGTTTGGGTGGTTATGGTGGCAAAACATGCTGCAGATTTCACATGAGCATGGCCCCTGGATTATTAACTGTCAAACAGCATGTGTACCACATTTGCATAAGTATGCTAGCATGAAGGGTTCATATTTTAGTATTAATTTTCTGAAGTGGTAGGCAAAGGAGATCTATAATAACATGAAGTATTCTTCCTTTTATTTATTTAGAGCTTACTTTTCAAATAGTACAATAGGTTTTCCCAAGTACCAACCAAGTATGTCAGTCTTCAAACAAATGTTAATTTATCATCATTTTTATACCCTGTCTTTTTTGAAAGATATTAAAGTATTTCGATAGCTCTTGGCTATTAGATAGGAACTGTGGTATATAATTTGCAGGAAGGCTCATGATTTCTGCCATGGTACTTAGGATAAATACATGTCTATGGCAGGCTGAATAACCAAGGGATTTCAGAGAAATCATGCCCAGTAAGACTTACTCTAGGCACCCGGTTTGGGTTGCTTGTCATTATATATATTAATAGTGCCATCAACTCTCCACAATCAGAACTCTTACAGCCCTCTCTAACAATCAGAAAACTATCTAGTCTAGCATTTTGTTGATGAAAGCTTTGTACCTCAGAGGAAGAGTATGAAGAATGGTAGCTATTGCTTTTCAACCTTAAAAGGATTGTTAAATTAGTTCACTTATTATTTCTTATCCTCTCCATGGGAGACATCAGTCTTTCTTTGTTGATCATGAAAAGGATCATTGTTGAGTGGTTTCAGATGGTTAGGGGTATTTATTATGGAACTTGGCCTCCACAACACACATACCTCTTTTCTCTATGCCTTTGGAGGCATACTAATGCTCTGCATATGGATATAAAGGACCAGAACAGCTTGAGAGAATTATTTATATGCATATATTTTTCCTGAGGTTATTATTGAAAGCTATGTCACAATTGAAGTGGAAAAGCGGACACTTATTGATAGACCAACAAAGAGATAAAAAATGTGATTCTATCATTTTAGATACCGCCTGACCAAAATTGCAGTAGATACTGCTGCTGGGCCATATCAGAATCACACTGTGGTTTTCCTGGGATCAGAAAAAGGAATCATCTTGAAGTTCTTGGCCAGGATAGGAAACAATGGTTTCCTAAATGACAGTCTTTTCCTGGAGGAGATGAGCGTTTACAACCCAGAAAAGTAAGTAGAGTGTTTGATCCTTTCTTAGTAATAATTTGTTTTGCTTTATGGCCTCCTTTCATTCAGAGAAAATCATGACAGACTTCCATTTTATGCATTTGTAGGTGACTTTTCAAGCTGTTAGTAAAAAAGTCTCTAAACACATTAAAAGCATTATTTTTTTTCTGGCCATTAATTTGTGTGTGTGTGTGTGTGTGTGTGTGTGTGTTTATAGATGCACATGTGTGTGCATGCCACAGAATCTGCTTCACCTTTAGTTAGATCACATTGAGAGATCACCTTGTGAACGGGGAAGTGAGGTGTGAGGGTGGTGGCAGCAAAGAGAAAACTGATCCAAAGAACCTATGAATGATATTATTATGCCCCATAAATCTAGATGCAGTTATGATGGAGTAGAAGACAAAAGGATTATGGGCATGCAGCTGGATAGAGCCAGTAGCTCTCTGTACGTTGCATTCTCCACCTGTGTGATCAAGGTTCCTCTTGGCCGCTGTGAACGACACGGGAAGTGTAAAAAGTATGTATTTTGCTACATTGACAATTAGAAAATTCTGCTATGCTTAGAAAGGAGTCCTAGGTAGCTGACGATCATCTTCTTCCCACAGAACCTGTATCGCCTCCAGAGACCCATATTGTGGGTGGGTAAAGGAAGCAGGTTCCTGTGTTCATCTGTCACCCAACAGCAGGTAAGGAGCCTGAGGTATGGGAGAGGTCAGAGTGGCCTTTGGCTGTGACACATTCTAGATGTGGGATTAGCTGCACTCACTCACAACACCAGCACTCAGCCTTCTGTGCACACACCTCAGCCACAGGACTGTCGGTGTTATCTTTCCTTTCCCATTTCATAGACTTCCTACGACATCATATGTGGCAGATTTCCAAGTGAATAATCACCCTCACATGATTAAAAACACACAGAAAGGAAACACAGTGGGCTTCAACGTATTCCCTGGAGAGAGGGACAAGAAGGTGCCTGCCTTGATCATCACAGTGCAAGAACAGCAGAGAAAAGGAGCAACAGGATACCAATTAGATTAGTGAGGGGTTTGTCCAGCCATCGCAAAAACGACTCTTATAATTGACTGTACAGGGCTGAGAAGAAATTGCAGAGCATTTGTTAAGCCACACATTTATGCTGCAAGCATGGCGTATACATCCAATAAAGCTTCCTCCTCTGCCAAAGAACAGTTGACCCTATTACTCGTTAGGCAGTCAATCAATTCTTGGCAATTCTCCAGTTAGTCAGCTAGGACAGTCTACCACGCCTGTGATTTTAGTGTTTAAAATTGTTACCCTAGCTTTAAATACTTAAATGGTATTGGCTAAGACCTTTCTTTTTATGCTTTGACCTCAGTAGATGTGAAATCCAAAGTAATAGTTGGAAAAATATTCAATTCATCTTTGACAGGTTACAGCAACTCAAGTAAGGTGCCATATGGCAGTACAGGGCTTTCCTTCAACAAAGCTATCCCTTGAGCCTCCCCAGATCCAAAGGGCAAACAACCATTTTCACATAACTCTGAGCCTCCTTTCCTATTTTAGAATAGCTAGACAAATTAATAGAAGGGCATAGCTGATGATCACCACCTGCATAATTTGAGGACAAGTATTCCCATAAACACATATAATGATAACTGTCAAATCTGACCTAGAAACTTGATTTAAGCAAGGAGTTGACTCACTATATATTATTAGCACAGCTTTGCTAGTAGCAATGTTGTCATATTATAGAGTGAGAAATTTGTGTCTTTTCGTGGGATCTTACAGGTAGAGGAGAAAGATCATAAAACCTGGGGAGGGAAGCTAAGAAATGACTTACCTTTTCTTGTGTATTCAACGTGTGAACAGAGATATAAAGGTATATTATGAACTATTTTTAATCAACACCAGAACTCCAAAATAGTTCCTTTAAGGCCTGCATACATATTTCAATGACTGACATTGCTCAAAACATGTGGAACTTTGCTTGGAGAGTCGGCTTCAGGGCCTGATGAATACTGGCTTTCATTACCACTAGAAATCTTTATCCTTTGAAGATGAATTTGATTTTTAATGCAGCAAAAGACATTAGAAACTAAACATGATGGATTATTAGATCAAGGTGTGACATTCAAAACAGTTTATATGGCTTACAGATAAACTCTGAAGGCATTCACAATATAGAAATTTCAAGTGTATTATGAGAATAAGCCTTGTCCAAAAAAGGGCAGATTCCTTTGGCTGATACTAGTGTGTTTTATTTTAAAAATCAAAATATTAGGTATTATTAAAATTGATTTTGTTAATGTCATATAGCTTGTATAACCCATTGGTGGCCTTAATGGACTTATAAGAAAGTGGAGCATGCATGGGTGTAGATTCCTGAGGACTAGCACAGGGCTGGCAGTGAGCAGAAATCCTAAATGGTCCTAGCACAATGCACCAGCAGGTTCTGTCTCTACTCAGGCCCCACATATCCACCGGCCATTTGTACCTTTGAACACTTCAATATACAAGTTTCTGCTAGGCAAAGAAATAGAAAAAGGTTTCGGAAGGCAAGAATAATAGTGAAAGAGAAACTAGGGAAGAAAAGACTCCTTTTTAATTTATAGTCTTCTGCATTGCTTATATAAAGAGTGTTTTTTTTAAACATCTAAACTTTTTAAATGTTTAAGAAATGCTCAGGGAACTAAAAAAAGAATGTAAATAATTTTACAAACTAATTAACTCCCTGAATAAGATCTGAATTAACTGCTTAAACCATGGATTCTCTTTGGAGATTCACATACGACTCATTTCTATAAATTTCAGAGATAAATTTTCAAGCTGTTATCTATTTCTTTTTTGCACCTGCCACTCGATTTATCAAACTGTGTTACTTTCTTTCATGAAACTTAACACTCATTCCTGAATCGTGGCTCAACTTATTTATTGTGTTTGTTTCTGTCTTTCTTTGTCTTCCTTTTTTTAAAGACTGACTTTTGAGCAGGACATAGAGCGTGGCAATACAGATGGCCTGGGAGACTGTCACAGTAAGTAAAGCTTTTTATCCATGTTTGTCTTTGAGTGAAGATGCTTTTATCACATGGCCTAGAAACATTATCCCACACATGGACTGAATGCAGCTGATGCCGAAACATGCATAAACAGAAATTGTCTTCTAAATATCAAGTAAAGAAAGTGAGGTGTATGAAATCCAGTGTGGTCAATATTGTTGCTATAAATGCTGGCACCTGGGGCTGGGGTTGTGGCTCAGCGGTAGAGTGCTCGCCTAGCACATGTGAGGCCCTGGGTTCGATCCTCAGCACCACATAAAAGTAAATAAATAAAACAAAGGTATTTTGTCCATGTACAACTAAAAAAAATTAAAAATAAATTGAAAAAATAAATGTTGGCACCCATTTTGTGGAACAAATTCACTGTAGAAGATATTAATTATAGCAAAGCAGTAAGTTATGTCAGCATTTCCATTACAAAATGACAGTTTTGTTGTTTTCTTTAAAAATGTGCTATTATACTGTAACTTTTAGCCAAATAATAATAAGATTGATCATCGTGCTCTAACTTTTTAATTGAGACTGTTATATCCTTTTTTGAACATATTGACTAACGAAAGTAATTATTTTTTAAAAATAGATTTATGTATATTACCATTTGTGGTAGAAAAAACTTTCAGAAATAACTCATAAGCACAAAGTGATTCAAAATATCATTTTTATAGGAATTAGCTTACTGTGCCAATCTCAGAGTCCTCTGTTATTAAATGGTAGCATTTTATTTATCTATGACAACTAGACAGAATTACATATAAATTACAGTAATAATAGTACTGTCCTGTGTTGTTTTATGACCTGACTAATATCAATAGTCTCCTGAAAATGTTTTATTAATACTAATTTAAGGAATAATGCCAAGCTCTTAGAAAAATGTTTAGTTTACAATTTTTTWAAATGTTACATATGCTGAATTTTACAACAACTTGCATTCACAATGGCACCAAAAATTATCTCCAAAGGGAATGAAACTGTATTACTTCTGATACTTAATTCTATAATGAAAATCTTGGAAATTATTCTAAGTCGTATAGCCATGAGTATGGAAATTTCAGACTAACCTGTCGCCCAACTTTCTACCTTATGCTTTTCTACAGATCAGATATAATCAAATAAACAGGACTAATCACAAATTCTTTGCCCTATATAATTTTTTGTTTACAAGGATAGTGCAAAAAAAAATCCTTATGTGTCTTCATATGCACAATTTACAAATTAAAATTAGCATAGGAGATAGTGTCATCACCAAAATGTCTGTCACATGCACATGTACCTTAGTGTGTAGTAATGAGACAATATGAGGTTTGATCACTGCACCTTAATTGTCTTGGTGCCTTATAGCTTAAGTTTTGGGGGAAACAGGTTTGGGTTTGGGGGAAAACAGGTTTGGAAACAGGTTTAATTAACTCACTTTAGTAAACCATTTTCATATTTTTATGAACTGGTGATATAAGCATCTGTAGAAAAATAGCAGTGTAGTTTTGGATTAAATCAGAAAATACATTAAGAATGTAAAGATTGCTGTGCCTCTAGAAAGTGTCCACTATATCAATAGTCTCACACCCATATCTGTGTTCTCAGGCAGAGGAAGCTAAGGAAACCTCTGTATACGGCATAGGGGAGACCCTTTGCTTTTTATTCCCAGGGTCATTTCAACAGTCAAGACCCCTACGCCTGCATTTGTTCTTTCTAGTGCGTCCCTGACCTTGAACTCCCTTCCTGAGCACCTTGGGGGGCTCACTCAGGGCAAGAAGTGAGCTGCACCTCCACCTGCCTGTCTTTCCCAAGGGCTTCTCTTCTCCCTGTGCAACTAGAACAGGAACTACTTGTATTAGACATACCTATTCATATATAGGTGTTCAGAGAGGAGTTAGGCAATTGGTGCATGATGACTGTTTAAAAGGACCTTAAGAGGAAATGAGGAGATCATAAGGAGCCAGTGTCAGAGGCTGCGTAACACGCTGAGCAAACCAGTGACCTGACCCAGAAACACAGCACACACACACACATACATATGTTGCTTTAAAAGCGTGTGGGTTTGATTTTTTGGTTGTTGTTTTAATTTCCAAACTGAAACCCCTGCTGAGTTCAGAACATTGTGATACTGGACTCTTCTTTCTAGCATGGTCATGAGAATGAGAAGAGAAAATATAAAGAAAAGTTCTTTCTTTAAGCATGTGGTGCAGGTGCCTCTTATTTTATTCACATGCATGTCATTACCAAAACGACATTAAGTAGGACTTGAATTCTCAGAATCACTTGTGATCACAGTGACCATTTCCTCTGCTGGACTCTTGGATTTTCCCTGCCTCCTGGCAGTGACTTTGAGGAAACTCACTTGATGGAAGAGATACGGATGTGTGAAATCAGACCTAGTATAAAGCACCTTAGGTTCTAAGCAGGAATTAAGAGCACTTACTCAGTATCGGGGCTTGTGTGTTGGCATAGTTCTGATTAGCTCATTCCCACTTATTATGTAAGTCACACTAAGCAGAGTGTGAAACATCAAGTAACCTCCTCCTCCCTTTTGTCTTTCAGATTCCTTCGTGGCACTGAATGGTAAGGAAGATATTACTGTCATAATTTAATATCAGTGGAAATCTATCTGAGAAATCCTATTTCACTAATCCTCTTGAGCATTTTCAAACCTTAGGTTTCTTTTTAATTAATTTTTTATCCTCATTATTTTTTATAGACATTTCAACTCTTCTACCAGATCATGAAATGTCTTACAACACAGTGTATGGTCAGTTTATTGATATATATATATATATATATATATATATATATATATACATATTTTTTTTTATTCTTTAAGTCACTTATACTGTGGTAGTTTATAGTTTCATTCCTAAACATCATGGACCAGATTCTTTGTTACTTCAGAGCCCCAATTCACTAAAAATTATTTATAGATTTCACTGTGCTTCAAAAACCACTCTGCTTATATGAGACAGTTGATGTGGGAGACTGAGTCCTAAATTTTTAATCCATATAACATGAAATATGCCAACCTTTGGGAATTTGGTGAATATATTTAATGAGTTCTTGAGGGAAAAGAAACTGCTTTTGGATAAGTATATCCAAGATAAAAGAATATTGCTTATAACTAAAATAGACTATATAGTTCCTCAGCTGATAGAGAATACCATCCTGCAAAATGCTGGCTCTCAGAACTATACCTTCCACAGGGGAAAATCTATACCAGGTATAGACACCATGTTCTTATTAGGCAAAACTTTCCAATGTAGCATGAAATTGGTCATCAAAATTTAAGCTCACAAAAAGTATGCATATTTAAACATATCTTCTTTCTTCGGAGAATATACAAGGAAGAGTGACGCAGTGGAAATGATATGCAAACAGGATTTATCCCATTGTTCTCAGACTGAAATACACGAGCATTATATTAAACACAGCTACAAAGTTCATAAACAGAATATTCTGAACTCTTGGTGCAAAAAGTTGAGATGAAACCATTCCATTTAGATTTCTCAAATGTACTACCAAATATTTATTAAGTAAACAATCCATGTGTTTTTTAAAAATATCAAATGAAAAACATCTGTGCAATGGCAACTTTATGCTTTTGCATTTTAATGGTGACAAGAGTTCAGCTATTTATGCTTTGTATGCTTAAGATATGCAACAAAGGAATAGTGACAATAGAGTATTTTAAATAAAGGGGTAGGTAATAAAAGAGACTGGGACAGTTAAGGCAAAGAAAGAAAAACAGAGGTAAGAAAGGAAAGCAATGAGGATGTGGGATTCAAAGAAATGGTTGAAGATGGCTACAAATATGTTCAATAGCTCCATGTAAATGTTCACTCCCTGGGTCTGATTAGCATAAATAAAAAGCCTCTTTGAAGTCTTAAAGATCATCTTATAAATTGGAGCTGTACAATATGGAAAACCGTGCCTGGTTTCTCCTGACCAGCCCGCTGTGAAGTGAGGCAGGATGGAGTAGGTGAGCCCACAGAATTCATCCACCTTTAACATTCTCTCATCTACAATTCAAACCAGAATATTGAACACTATAGACTCAAAGAAAATCACTCAGGAAGCACATGTCATCTAGCTTAGCCTTAAGCCTTCAAAAAGAAAATCAACTTAGCATCTGCTCTTTTCCAATATCATACTTTACAATCATTTCTGATAATTGAATTATCTTTATCAGATATTGAGAAATTCAGACCTTCAAACTAACTGAACCAGCAACCTCCCTAACATTCATCAGTTATCCTAAGACCAAATTTAACTCCCAGGCAATTTCTTATATAGATAGAATAATTAAACCATAAAATGCTCTTCATGAACAAAAATCACTCTTCAAGCTATGTCTTTCTCTCTTATTTCCTTTTCAAAGGAAAGGTACCTTTTAATTCTTCCATATTAACACTTTAAAGGACAATATCCATTCATCCTTATCTCTTGATCTATGGTTTCTGTAATGAAACTAAAGTTTCAGAATTTTCCTATCAGCTAATGATTCTGCCCATTTCAGGCTGAATATATTCAGTGTGAAGGCGTTAGGTGATTAATTGACCATTAAAATGAATGATGGTCTAGACAGGATGTACAAAAATACAGGAGACTTTTGAAACATATAAGCTATTATAAGAGATACCTATTTTGAAGTTAGTAAACCCAGAAGAGATTTAATTAACTCATCCAGCAAATATTTGGTATGTGTGAGGCAGTGGGCTAGATGATATATTTGTAGCATCAGAGGAAAGATCAGATTGCTATTTTTATGAGCACAAATATAGACAAGAGAGTCAATCCCAAAGTCTAAAGTGCACCCAAGCTGTTTCTAGCTGTGCTCTTTGCAAGTCCTGCTTTCTGTGGCTAAGTGCAGACCCATACAGCAAACCCTAAACCACAACTGCCCATCTCAGGAAAAAGGATCATTTCAATAAACCATGCAAACTTTCTATTGGCAAAAATTGTATGCAAACCAGTTACAAATACAAGTACCCCTTTTAGTGAATTGGGTCCTGATTTTTTTCCTTTTCTCTTCCTCTTTATTGATTTAGTGTCTCTTCTTTTATGTCTATTTGACTACAGTCATTGTTAATAGGTTAGAGTAGTTCAAAGGGTCTCTAACCTCTAGAATCACAATGACTTGTAGATACAGAGAAACAATGTGATGTGCTAAACTTAACTTTTTAAATATATCTATTTATTTGTGTTTTTGAAGTCATGTAGCGTAAGTTCTGTTGATTAAAATGTAATCTTTCTTATTGGACTGACAAGACAAAATTGTAGGTTGTAAATCTATTGACATATAACACCATAGCCACAAATGATTGCCTATTTTCGTAGCACTATTTTGGTTACAAAGTCTCTTAGGCAATGCATAAGAATAACATAGCCTCTAAAATCAAATTATAAGAAGGAATATGAGTGATTTCCTTATAACTTTTTTTTTTTAGCTTGAGGATATAATAGCACATATCTTGATTCAAACTGAGGACTGCTGCCTAAAATTTTAATGTGGTGATTCTAAAATTTTTGAGAATCAGGTATTGCTTTCCCTGATTGTTTAATTCACCACTAGCACGTGTTCCTTATCCTCAAGCAAAAGTTTAAAAGATTATAGACCTCATGCAGTTCTGTTTTTTTTTCTTTTGAATAAATCAGATACATTGTTTCTCTAGATTTACATATAGAAAATTGAGATGTGGTGGGTATTAGACTAACGCTTTAGTGATAGGAAGAAGAGGCTGATTTCTCACATTTGTGTAAAACATTTTCCTACCTAACTACCATCTGGTCCGCATTAATTTCCTCTCATAGCCATAGCTTTCCATTACCAATGAGTTTTCCATGTATTTGCAGCATATGGTCCAGGAAATCTTTCTACAGAGAATGTGTCCCTTAGGCATATATTTCCCCTAGATTACCATATTAAGAAATGTTCTCCCTAAACCATACTTATGGCATTACCATAAAATTGCCCCTTGAACACACTTAAATTGAAAGTGTTCAAAATGCATATCAATTCAGGTAAAAGAAATTCTTGCTACTTGGAGGGAAAGATTTTTCCTTCCTCCTTTTTCCTATCTCTCTACAAAACTATTTCTAATTGTTTGCTTATACTGAGTGCTAAATTCTCTCTTAGGCTGGCCATATATTTTACTAAAACAGTCTTGAATTCAGGAGTGGAAAATAGAGGTTATGTTTTAGACCTCGATGTAAGCAAAGAGGAAATATAGGAAATTCCATGTTTCCCTTTCTCAGGCTGATTTTCCTGCCCCTGTTCTCTTATCAGTTTTAGGAGATGAGATGTGAAACTCAGAAACATAAAAACAAAAAGTCTAGAAGCAAGCATTCCTTGAGTCTTAAATGCACATATTTTTAGCAGTGGGATATGAAGCAGACTATTTCAACAAAGCGGATGTTTGAAGCTGTGTGGGAGCCACACAAGTTCTGCATAGAAAGTGACTTCTTAAACATTACCAAAGCTTTATGGCAGTATTTAAGTGTGGTGTTTCCAGAGAAATCATCATAGCTTAGATGTGCTACTTGGCTTGCTTTATCCACCAAGCAAAATCCTAAAATAAAAAATTTAAAAAAAACAATTTTTAAATGTTTTCTGTAATTTGCAATATTATAGTCTCCCCAGATTCCAACATTCAATAATAATTGTGGGGGGGAAATAGAATGCAATGCATTTATCATTATTATCTCTCTTTCAGTATTTATTTATCAGGCATACAGTGATCACATCCAAGGCTAGGGGTTTGGGAGTTATTATGAATCTGCCCTACTTTCTATCAAAGGCACCGATTACACATGCACAGTTGTCCTGATGTCTTTTTAAAAACTGTTCCAAAAGACTGCTATAGGTAAAATGGTTTAATAAGCCAAAGACTCGAGTAGAAATTCACAGGGTGGTTATGTTTCATTTCACCAGACAGAATAGGTAGTAGGGCTTCTTTAAATCATTGTGACAGCTTAGATCAAAGCACCTGATAGAATCTGCATTCAATCTTGTGCAAGTGATGGATCGAGAGCCTACAGCTGTGTTCACAGGAAATGTCCGCTATATCTTCCGAAACAACCAGCCTAGCCATTCCCTTGGCATTAGCCTATGGGAGGCTACTTTAAATCTCAAAATCTCTCTTTTTTTCTGGTTTGAATCATTTCAATGAGACCTCAAAAACAACATCTCATAAATATAAGTCATGAAACTATGAAACCAACTTGATTGGAATTAAACACACAAGGCACAGCCATAACACATAACAAGTGAGGCCTCCTTTCCAGTGAAAAAGAGGTGGAGGCAGATCCCTTTGGAAAGCAGGAACTCCTTCCAGAACAGGGAGGGCCCATGAAGTTGAGCCCATGCTAAAGACAAGACATGCCATGCAGCCGGCACGGGAAGGGCTCAGGACAGTTGAGCTACCTGCAATAGGAAAGACACATCCACTACCACCATAAACCTGTCTCGCCCATCATAGTGTCCCAGGGTGGACACTTTCTGTCTTTAATGCTGCCCTGGGGATGACCAGAGAAGGGCCACTAACATTTCTTCAGCCTCTAGTATCAGACACTGTGCTAGATACTTTGTCCATCATGTCACTTTATCCTCCCAACACTGGGAGGTGTCCTTATCCCCATGGTGTGCGAGGAGACACTAAGTGGTTCCTGGGGCTCACCCCCACCATTACCTCCAGTAATCCTTGCCATTTCTAGGGCCCTCTCCCCTCAGTCTCTCAGCCCACTCCTGGCCTCTGAGCAAGGGGAATGTGGGTCTCTCTGGTGATGTTTTCCCTAACTGTATTTGTGATGAAAACAGGGCACGCCAGTTCCCTCTTGCCCAGCACCACCACATCAGATGCAGCGGCTCGAGAGGGGTATGAGTCTAGGGGAGGAATTCCGGACTGGAAGGACCTGTTCGATTCACCTGACAGCACAGATCCTTTCGGGGCAGTGTCTTCCCATAATCACCAAGACAAGAAGGGTAAGGCCTTGGAAATGCCTCCTCCCTGGTGGGGAGAGTTGGGGGGAAAGCGGGGAGGACTATGTAACTGCTTCCAGCTGAGTCTAAACAGCATTTAGGAACCTCCAATGTACCACTACCGAAAACTTCTCAAAATTAAGACTGACAGTCCAACCCTCATATGAGGCTTGATCCTAAATTATTTCTGGACCAAAGAGAAACCACACAAAACAAATAACACTTCTCTGAGCTTCTTCCACCCAGAAGAGGTGTGGCCTGGCTCAAATCAGATGCTGGCTCCTGAGATCCCTCTCCACTCCTCTCAGTCACATGCTGTGATTTTTTTTTTTTTTTTTTTTTGGACCCTCTCTCTTCCCACCATAATGTGATGGAATGCCGTTCGGACTTTGGCAAGTAAATGTAATCCAAGTAAAAGCCCATTAATCAGTGAATTGAGAAATAGCCAGACAAAGTCTTTTCTGGCTGGTAGCATCTCTCCCTCTCACATGGTGCTGAATTTGAATAGGGCTGTGGTCCTCAGACTACTGTAATTGCCCTCAGAGGACAACAGCTGAAACAAAAATATGTCATTTAATCAAGCAGAATTGCTATGCATTTAAAATGGAAAGGAAGCCATGCTAAATGAAAGGGACTCTACTGTGAACTGTCCTAAATTCTCCTTTGCTTTCTTTGCTCGACTGCGGACAGGAAATGTCATCTCTTTTTTCGCCATTTGCTGCTTCTGGTAACACATCCTACTTCAGTCGCAGCTGCAACCGAAGAGGCCTTTACTTGTCCAAAAAACAGTCTTGTAAATCAGAGGCTGAAAAGCCCAGTTATGTTGCTGAGCTGTTTCCCCCCATTCAGAATTGTTAACTTCTATATGTTTTCAAGAGTTTCATGCAAACTGGGTGTGAGTTTCGAGGGCAGAGCAGCCCCCATGACCCCTGAAGACAGTCTCTGTCATGCCCTCTCCCAGAGTTTTCTGCACACATATCTCCATCTTTACTTCAATAGAATATTTCCTGAGCAGACCCATGCTGAAGTTTCATCATGCTTTCTGCTTTCCCTCTCCTGAGGGGGCTCTGTACCCTCCTGTCCTATTTCCAGAGCCAAAATGTAAAGATCAACCCAACCCCTTTTATCTTGCTCTTGAGCATGTCCCTTTCACTGATTTTATTATTCTTCTATAGACTTTCACTCTTAATATGCCCTGCCTCAAATCTATTTAAAGGAAAAAAAAAAAAGAAAGAAAAAGCAGGTTTTGTCTCACCAGCCTCTCTGTTCTTAACATCCCAAGAAAGCAACCAATGGAGGAGAAACTGCCTGACAGGCCACAAGCCCCAGCATGTGCCATTATTTGTGATGTGTGGCTCCAGACCTCAGATGTATTGGTCTTGGCTGTGTTCAAGAAGAGACAGCTTAGTAAAAATCACTTTGTTTTTGCCCACTGTGATTTTTTTTTTTTTTTTTTTTTTTTAGAAAAACAGTCTTTCCAGTAAAGTCCTAACTATGTCAACCAAATATCTAGCTGTTGGTTGCAGTAATTTACTCTTCACTGAGAGGAGTGGCATGGATTTTCTCCAATCGTTAACTCCCCAAAGGAATGGAGGTTCTCAAAGAGTCCAATTAACACTTTGACAGATTGTTTGAAAATTCGGCATTGTTCATTCTCTTGGGTCTTATTGTGAATGTTGACAAAGCTGGAAGCAGGCTGCATATTGTCAAGCAATGGTGGCAGAGGTGATTGCATGGGTGTTTAACATGATCACTGTTCTTGTGCTATTAACTCCTTGCCTTGCCCTGTCAAACTTGAGTTTGATTTTGACAATTGATGATATGTTTGATGGGGCAATGCCAATGAGTTCGTTAAGCAGAAATTTGAAAAAGATATAGCTGAGTGTTCCTTTTACCATGATTTTTTTTATGATTTTAATTTCCATTTTGCTCTGAATTATTATTTTTTTCTGTTTACCGTTCATGATTTATTTCAAGCTTTTGTTTTCGTTTTGCCAAGCACTATGTGGTATGACTTGGTGATGGCGTTACTCTGTTGGAAAAGTCTTGGTCCTTTTCTGACTCATTATGATGTCCCTTAACCTGAACCAATCTGTGACTCCCTTGCTTCTTTTCATTCCCTGACGTTGGTGCCTTAATGATGTCACACCCGTGTGCACAGCATCTCCTGGGATGCGGGAGTTCCGTGGGTTTCCTTGAGGGCCTTTTGATGGGTGCTCTTTTCACTGGGTCGATTGTCTCATGGGAATGTGACATTTGTGTGCTCCAGCTTTGGAAGCTAAATATACTCTGGAATTGTTTCTAAAATATTCCTACATTTCCCTGATAAGCAGAAAGTGTGTCTGCTGACCAGCGAGCTGAGGAAGAGGCAAGTGTCCAATGCCCACTGAAAAAGAGCCAGTGAGCAAAATGAGTTCAACAGCTATCGTCTGCAGATCTGTTGATGCCCCTGGGCTGGTCCTCTTGTCTGCCCCAGTTCGTGCTCCAAACAGTTCTGCATTTCCAGAGTATGTTTGCTTGCCTTTTTCTTTCTTTTCCTTGCTGTGTCCTTCGTCTTGATTTAATTCCCGTGCGTCCTTCTCATTCTGTCCAAGCACTGCTCGCACCTTGCCGTCTAACCCCCTTCTGCTACCATTGTTCTTAGCCTCCCCCTTTCACAGTAATAGGCCCAAAGCCCCCTGCCCTCTGTGGAACATTCCAAGGCTCTTTCCTTCTAAACTGGGATCAGCATTTGGAAGCTGTATGTATATATAGTTCTCACTAACAAAGTGTAGGAGGAGACCTGCAAAGCATACAGAAGCATTATCATAGAAAAATGAAGTAATTTTCTCTCTCAGTAACTGGCCTTGCCCTTCATTACCCTACTGGCCTTGTCTAATGTCTCTTGTCCTTGCTGCTTTTCTTTAAAATTGCCTGATATCTTTCAAGCCCTGGATTCATTAGTAAAAAAACACAGTAGACCGCTCTGTTTTATCTCTGGGTCCCTCGATGTCTGGAGCCTCCAGAGCCAGCCCTTTAATCACCAAGCTGATAAATTAGATGCAGCCCTGACTACTTCTTTCCTGGTTTGGCCACATCTAAAAATATATATTATTTATTCATCCAATAACTATTGAGGTGGTAATGGGTAGTTACATAGCGGCTCTAATTATATGTAAATAAGAAAGAAAATCCCATTTATTTTTAGATCTGGCTTATTCCCCACCTAACAGCAAAAGAAATAAGAGCTTCTTTTTTTAGGTTAAACAATCCTGAGAGTGAATAACCACTCCTGTGCCTCTTGTTTCTTACCAAAAGTAACAATGTCATAAAACTGATTTCCAAGAAGACTGCAAGACTGGGTAGGAAGTTAGCCTGGTACAAAGTTGCTAGGACCGCTGTGTAGCAGAAATGTAAAATCTAAACACCAACTACTGCTACTGCCGTTAGGACACAGCACAAATCCTGAATGGAAGAGAAACCCATATTTCTGATTTTGTTTTATAGCGTTCTTGTGTGCTCTCAGAAAGTAGATGAAATAGTAAATATAGAAAAAGGAGTTCTCATTTGCTGAAAAATGCCAGAATTGTATGCTTATATAATTTAGGGAATCTTTAAAGTGAAGTATTATCACATAATTATATTTGGGTAAAAGATACGGGCATTATAAATAAAGAAAAGCATGGAGAAACAGAATTTGAGTTTGAGGTGACATGAATAATTTAAACCAAAATGTAAATGTTGACTATGTTTTAATCGATGTGCAAGCTGTTTGTGTAAGCAATTTGTAGTTGGGAAAATAATATTCCAGTAAGATTCATAAAGTCCGTAAAGGATGATGAGCACGCTTAGTTATTGTATGAATCACAGAGTTTATCAACAATCCTCTCTATAGGTAATTACTTACTCCTTTCACGTACAGTGGCCTGTGACTGTCTTGCCTCAGTGGTAAATGCAGCTCCAGACTTCATGATTTAGGGGCTCAGGGACAGCATGACCTTCAGGAATACTGAATCATGTGGTAGAACTTTATACTTTTTGTGGTTCTCTTTCAGTGTGCTTGATTAGGTCAAGGAATAAGTCTCAGTTTGGTCCTTGATCATTAACAACTCCCTAAACTTGCCACCACCCCTGTTTGACAAAGAGAGGATGGGCTTTAGACTGCCACTGTATCTTAGAGCTGGATCCAGCTGGAATTAACATTGTTTCACTTTCAGTTAATTTTGTTTTTATAGTTACCCTCTATCTATGAAAAATGACACGTTTCCATTTATGTCAGTGTTGTAAAGTTTCCATTTGAAAAACATTTTAAAGACAATTTAAATACTAAGTACATAGTAATGCAGGAGGTAGTAGGGAAATAAAATCTTAAGTAAATAATTTGGTATGTGAGGCTCATTGGCATGGTTAACCTTGTACAATTAGCAATTCACTGAGTAAAGTTTAGGTATCTCTGTCCTAAAGCAATTAAAAGGATCTTGTAAAGATTAAACTACTACCAAGATCAGGAGACTGAGGCAGGAGGATCATAAGTTCAAGCCCAGTTTGGGCAATTTAGTGAGACCCTGTCACAAAAGAAAAAGTAAAAAGGGCTAGGAATGTAGCTTAGTAGTAGAATACCTCTGGATTCAATCCCCAGTACCAAAAAAAAAAAAAAAAAAGGCAACAGCTGAGCATAGTGGTACATGTCTATAATCCCAGAGATTTGGGAGGCTGAGGCAGCAGATCACAAGTTGAGGCTAGCCTCAACAATGTAGCAAGACCTTATCTCAAAATTAAGAAGGGGTGGGGATGTAACTCAGTGGTAAAGTACCCCTGGGTTCAATCCCCTGTATCCTACCCGCAACACACACACAAAGAACTACTATCAAGAACTTTGCTTCTGACAGTGGATAACCCCAAACCCTCTGTTGGTTGGGCACTGCAAAGCCAAGCATATGCATGCATCAGTCTGAGTGTTGAGATTACTTCATCTTGTGCTCTTCTGATTCCTTTTCAACCCTCCGAGCTTTACGATTGGGTAT